TCTGTAGTGTAGCAATCCATAGCGTATGCGCTTGAATCATCTTGGTTTAGATGAAGAGCAACTTTTATAACATGGCCACACAAATAACCAGATGTTTGCCATTTCATACAACTATACGTCTTTGCATTTAGATCGACAAGCCCATTTAAGTTATTATGCAGTACTTCAAACAAAGTGTTTGAACATGGTTCAACTCTCCATGACGTTGACTTCACAACACGTTTCGTTATCTTTTTTTCATTCCATGGTGTAACACGATGTTCCAATGTTCCTGTAAATTTAAATAATTAATACTTAGTAAAATATATGATAAGTTACGAATTTAAAGAAATAATACCTGCATGGTTTCTTTTCTTGTAGTACCACTGTTGAATAGAGGCACGAAAAAACTCCATTAACATAGTAATGGGTAATTTTCGGGAATGACGACTTAGAGCGTTGATTGATTCTGTACTATTAGACGTCATGAAACCATATCTTGCTCCAAGTTGATGTACTCTTGACCATCTTTCAAACCCGACATCTTCTAGTGTTTGAGCACACTGAGGTAAAACACGTCTTAAAAAATTTATATGCTTATTAAAATCTACTTCCCGATAAGCTTTTACAACCTTCCAGTATGTCCATTTGTGATTTTTTATACCAGCAGACCTTGATTTTAGATTTCTATACAAATGAACACCACAAAGTCCATGAAAAGCATCTGGGAAACACCTTCTAACAGCGTTGTCAATTGAGTTTGCCTTATCGGATATGATTGTCAGATTGCTAATAGGACCTATGCAATCCCTAAGATGCCCCATAAACCATGTCCATGAATAAGAGGTTTCAGATTTGCCAACCCCGTAAGCTATTGGCAGTATCCCATTGTTAGCATCCATGGCTACTGCTAATAAGTTTACTCCAAGGTATCGACCTTTTAAATGTGATCCGTCAACTATAATAACTGGGCGCATGCAAGTAATAAACGAACGAATCTACAAAATCATATACACAAGAAATATAATCATTTAAATGTGAAATGCGTGTAACTAACAAAAATGAGTCAACAAAATTATATTGATTTACTAACCGCAACACCAATGGCGATAAACAGCAACTCAAAGCATCCTTCTCTATCTATTTTGATATGAGTTACCGACCCAGGATTTTTCAGCTTTAAATTGTGACAATAAGCCTACAGTTGGGCAAACGATGCTTCTGGCGACCCCTCAACAATTCCAAGGCATAACATTTGGCTCTCCAAGCTTGAGAATATGAGATACTAATCTTGAACCGAGCATTCATGTCAGTCATAATTTCATGTCCCCTATATACTCTGCCATTCAAAAACATTAACTCAGCCAGAAAACCACCCAACACCTTTTTGTTTGCCTGTCTATGGTGAGGAAAAACTTGGGTTATTGAACATGTATGTTTATCAATAAAAGTCCTAACTTGAAACATTTCGCAATCTTTTATCATCTTTGCAATCATACGGCACGTACATTTTTTGTCAATCATACGCCTTGTTTCGAAACGATCTTTGCTTGATTTGTTAACTTTTAGTTGATAGCCATCTTCCACAGATTTCGTATACAAAGCTATCTTCAAGTCTTCCTTTGTATCAAAACAATCATCTTTCTTGATACGAATAATTTTTGTGCAACAATCAACTGCTATCTTTACCAACTCTTCTTCCGGTATCTGAAGAAATTCTGGCATATTCCAGTTATACTCCCGTGGCATTTTCTTCGGGGACTTTTCTTTAGGGATTTCTTCTTCTTCTTTTTCTTCTTCAGGGTTATATGAATTACAGAATGGATGTTCAACATGTTCATTCACAGTCGTAACTTCCTCCTCATTATCATCAACAACATCTTCCTCGGCAGCGGCTGTTTCATCATCAAAATTTGGGTATTGACCAATATCAAAATCATTACACGCAGGGTCTGTTTCTTCTTCTGAAACATCATCAAAATCCGAGTATTGACCAAGATCAAAGTCCAGGTATTGACCAAGATCAAATTTCGAATACTGACTAGTACTCACAATTTTTTCTGTTGGCTCATCATCATCTAACTGGTCAATACGAAAATCGGAATTTGGTGCTGAAAGTTGATTGAGATTTGGATTAGGGAAAGGTTGTGGGTTTTGAGATTGTGTTTGGTATTGGAAATGTGGTGAAACAAAATTTTCTTGGTAATGAAATTGTGGTGGAACCATTAAATTTTGAGCACCATAAACTGGGGTTGAAAAACTTAGTTGATTACTACCCGCTACTGACCCAACTTCACTACTTCTAGGTTCAACAACATACAATGTAACATCATCTTGCGAAACACTAATGCAAGCAATGAATCGTTCAACATCTTCATTGTCGCTTAACAAATAAACTTTACATTTTCTCTGATAAGATAGTCTAAATCCACTTAAGGGCTCTAAATTCAATTTATTTGCAACACATAACATTAGAGTTTCATAAGTTAACTTTTTTAATGACAGTTTTAGTTGAAGATTCATGGGTAAAGGCATATATTGTAAAACACCATGAACATTCTCCCATGACCCTCCAAAACACAAATCTATCCAAACATGATCAACATTAGATGATTTCATTATTGTAAATTAATTTACTAAACAAACGAGCTGCGAAACTAAAACCTGTTGCCGGATACGGAAGGATGTCGTTGGATATAGGAACGGATGTCGCCGGAGAGAGTGATAGATGGAGATGGAATGAGTTACGATTTAGGGATTTAGGTTATGAGTTGCTTCTGCTGCGTAGTTATATACCCAAAACATTTGTGTTGCGAAACTAAAACCTGTTGCGAATTTGAAATTCAGTGTTGCGATAGTCAGCATCGCGTTGCGATAGTCAGAATCGCGTTGCCATAGTCAGAATCGCGTTGCGATAGTCAGAATCGCGTTGCGATAGTCATAATCGCATTGCGATTTAGTTGGTCATTTTGGCAAATCCAAAAAAAGTTGGTTAAAATCGTATATTATAAGACATTTTTTGTTACTGAGGTTATTTATGGATTTTAAAATTACCACATCACTTAAATTGATTAATATTTTTTTTATTATTTAAAATTTTCACATAATATTTTGGTTAACAAAAGTTAAAGGTTCAAGAATTTAAATCGGATCGATTGATAACGTAAAAGATCAAATATATTTAATTAAAATCTCGGTAACCAAAGTCAATCCGACCGAAAACAAAAGAAAATACCGACATAGTTTAACCAATAACAATTGTAAGCGTTTGATTGCGAGTCTATTTGTTTATGGTGTTCAAAGTTCATATTCAACTGATAAACAATTATAACATTAATTTAAATGATAATCAATATGAGATAAAAAATATAATTTAATATAAATATATAAACTATTTTAATATTATTAAGCTTTAACTATTAATTTTTTATTTAATATTATTTTTGGTACTAATATAAAAGTTAGTATGGCACTAGCATATTACTAATGTTAATTCAGTAAATAATTAGCAACTAAATAATATTTTACTATTATAATATTAATTTCTTTTACAAGTCTGTTGCTTATATACTTATATATTTACTTATTTCTATTTATATATATTTATTTTTCATAATAAAAATATTTTTCTTATCTATAAATTTTAATAGTGAAAATGACTATATGGTCAATATACATAATAATAACTCTGATGACAGTATTATCCGTGGATAGGATAATTTTTTTTTTGTTTGGTAAAAATAGGATTGAATTCTTTGACTGCAAAGAAAAAGACGTACTGACAAAATATATCCTAAGATACACGTGCATGATTTTTAAGATATCATACATCACTGAATTTTTTTATGTTATGTATCATTTGTATCATTAAAATTTTAATTTATTTAATTATAATATTTAATTTTAGATATAATTATAGTATTAAATTTTAATTTTAATTATGTCATTTGACCGTTAAAATACAAATAGTATAATGTAATGTAATGTAATGTAATGTAATGTAATGTAATGTAATGTAATGTAATGTAATGTAATATAATATAATATAATATAATATAATATAATATAATATAATATAATATAATATAATATAAGGGCAGGAAATGCAGATATAATTATTTTAAAATATAAAATATAAAATATAAAAATAATTTTATTATGCAATTTAGTTATTTATAAAAAGTTAGTCATTTTGAAAAGGCAAAAGTAATTTTGTTTACATTTTAATAATTCCTATCTAAGAGAGGAAAAAATAATTTTTACTTATAATAAATAATTAACTCACAACTTAAGAGAGAACTCACAACTTATAATAAATAATTAATTCACAACTTAAAAGAGAATGTGTCAATTAAGAACTATTAATCATGATTATTAAACAATGTATAGCGATATAAATAATGCATATTTTACACTTCAATGTAAAATAATAATCGTCATTAATTTTTTTAGCATAATTAAAATATGTAATTTAATATGATAATTCAAACGTATCAGCCTAATAAATAGTATTTTATATTGGTGACATAATTATTCACTCAAAAATACTTCAATTATTTTTTATTATACTGGTTATAAATTCTAAAACCTTAAAAAATACTGCATGAATCAAATTATCTCAGTGATTAAAGAAATAATTATTATTTTTAAAAACTACATATTTAAACCTTAGCGATTGAAATAAAGTAATTAAGAATTCATTATCAAATAATTCAGAAAGTAAATCCTTCTTAATTTGTTAGCGTTTGAATTCAAATGAAGATAAGAATTCAACCAGCCGCGAATGTACAGCTCTTTATATTCTTCTATTAATATAGTATTTGTTTAATACAACACAGTGCCTCTGTTACAGTGAGGCTGTTAAAACCAAAAATGCTCTATGCCCCTCAATAATTAAATTAAATCTTGTTTAAGACGTATGTAATTACGCAAACTTTTTAATTTTCCAAGTTCTAAGCCGCGTGAAAAAGGCTAATGCCTCTCATTGACAAAACATTATATATACACTATCATGTGTTATGGACAATTCCCCTATCATATCTTCATTCTCTGCAACCTCTAGAGGGTTTTTTTTTTCAGAGTTTGAGAGCAGAGAAAACAATGGGTTCAACCCAAAACACTGGTTCCACTCTTAGCTCCGATGAGGAAGCAATGTTAATGGCCATGCAACTCTCCTTCGGATCAGCCTTACCCATGATCCTCAAGTCGGCTATAGAGCTCGACCTGCTTGGGATCATCGACAAAGCTGGTCCAGGCGCTTTGCTGTCTACGAAAGAAGTTGCTGCCCAGCTCTCCACAACCAACCCTGATGCGCCTCTCATGCTAGACCGCATGTTTCGAGTGCTGTCGAGCTACTCGGTCCTCACTTGCTCCTTGCGCACTCTTCCCGACGGTAAAGTCGAGAGACTCTATGGTCTTGGCCCCGTCTGCAAATTCTTTACCAAGAACGAGGATGGTAGCTCTATTTCCACCATATCTGTCTTATCTCAGGATAAGGTTTTTATGGACAGCTGGTAACCAATTCTTTCATTTTTCCTATCTATTCATTGAATCTATTATTTGCCGGTTTTTATGGACAGCTGGTAACCAATTCTTTCATTTTTCCTATCTATTCATTACATCTATTATTTGCCGGTTTAATATATTTTGGAATGTTTACAGGTATCACTTGAAAGATGCAGTGTTGGATGGTGGATCTCCATTTAAAAGGGCCAATGGTATGCCTGTATTTGATTACCTCGGCACGGATCATAGACTCAACACGAATTTCAACAAAGGAATGTTCGATTTATCTTGCATTAACATGAAATGGATTCTTGAGAGATATGATGGCTTTGAGGGACTAAAAACACTGGTTGATGTTGGGGGTGGTACTGGTGTCGCACTTAACATGATTGTCTCCAAGTACCCCAACATAAAAGGGATCAACTTCGATTTGCCTCATGTTATCGAGAACGCTCCTACTATCCCTGGTACGATATTATCAGCTTTTTCCAACTACTTAAAAAACCAACAGATAAACTAACATGTTTTGAAAATGATACTTGGTTGTTGTAGGTGTGGAACATGTTGGTGGAGACATGTTTGTGAGCGTTCCGAAAGGAGATGCGATTTTTATGAAAGTAAGTAGACATAAAGTTAAGAAATTCTGTCGACTTGGTAAACCATGTATAACTTATGCTTGGACATGTATGTGTTGGTGGTGCAGGTTATATGCCACAGTTTTGACGATGAAAGCTGCCTGAAAATTTTCAAGAAGTGCTACGAGGCTTTGCCGGAGAATGGAAAAGTGATAGTTGTGGAAAACATACTTTCGGATTACCCAGATTCAGGCCCTATCACAAAGTTCACCACCTTATCTGATGCTTTCATGCTGGCTTGCAACCTTGGGAAAGAGAGGAGTGAAAATGAGTTTGAGGCACTGGCAAAGGGTGCTGGATTTCAAGGCTTTCAAGTCAAATGTTATGTTTATAGCATCTGTGTTATGGAGCTTCTCAAAAGAGTTTGAACTTTTGTCTTTGAACTTTATAAGAATTCATCTGAATAATTGCATAGTCGGATTTCATAGTTTGAATCCACTTGTTTAATAAGCAGTTACATATCCAAAAATTAAAAAATAAGGGTTTGTTAGTAGTCTAACAGAAGTGATAAGTATGAGTGTGTTGCTGATTATAACGGATTTGTAACTATGACATACACGTGGCATTAGCTGTGTGGATCAGTTGTTAATTAGTTAGTAGAGTCATTAGAGCTAGCTGCTCATATAGTGTATATAAAGTCGTGTATACTTCAGTAATAAAGCATGCAAGTTTTCCAGTATCTTTCTATGTTAAACAACCATTCCAACATGGTATCTCTCGCCATAGATCTTGGGGTTTTCTTTTTCGCTGATTGAAGTTCTTTCTTGCTTCTTGAAGTTCTTTCTTGATGGAGTTCACTGTCAATGCTAAGTCATTCACTCACAAGAAAGTAAATATTGTTCTTGATGAGATGAATTTTCTCCTTTGGAAGAAACAGATTTTGCTCACCATTCAGAGCCATCGTTTGGAACGTTTTCTTACCGGTGCTGTGGTGACTCCACCTAAAACTATTATTGATATGATGGTATCGCTCGTGTTAATGAAGCCTATGAAGACTTTGTGGCACAAGATAGTGCTCTTTCCTCGTGGTTGTTATCCACTATCAGTGCCCATCTTCTTCCCCAATTTGTTGGTGCTGAAACGGCGGCGGTTGTAAGGAATACTATTATTCAATTCTTTGCTAATCGCTCAATGACTGCGATAATGAGTCTCCACTATAAGCTTCAGTCATTAAAGAAAGGAGGTGATAGTATGCATACTTACCTTACTCGTATGAAGGAAGTTTGCGATGCTTTAGCTTCTTGTGGTAGTGTTGTGCCTCAAGTTGAGCACACTGCAAGTATTCTGAAGGGTCTTCCATGAGAATATCAACCCTTTATGGCAGTTATAACTTCCCTGAGGGAAACGTTGTCCTTGGATAACATCTATACTATGCTTCTTGATGTAGAGACACAACTGGCTAGTTTTGAAGTTCAGTTGGAAACCTTACCGATGAGTGCTAACGTTGCTCAGGGGGAGATTCGAAACCCGATGATATCAAGTTCAAGTTATGATCACCGATCTGGAACTAGAACTGGTGGTAGAGGTTGTGGTCGGTCACGGGTGCAATGTTAGCTTTGTGGGAAGATTGGACACCTTATCGATCAATATTGACATAGATTTGATGAAGATTTCTCATGTGTTACTGCTGCTAGTCATGGATCAAATCAATCGAATTATAAGGCAACTTTTTCTACATATAACTCGACAGTTTCATCTTCTAATACTGGATATGAGTTTTGTGCCAAACACAAGTCTGGTTCGTCTGTGGCTGGTCAACCACAAGCTCATGCTTCTTCGATGTCCTCTGAATGTTGGGTAGTTAACACAGGTTCCACACATCATGTGACCTCAGACTCCAATAATATCTTGAATCCAATAGAGTTTCTTGGTCATGGGAAACTTCTAGTTGGCAATGGTATGCCACTTGATGTAACTTTGGTTGGTCATTCTCATGTTCATGCTCATTAACATATACTTTTGCTAAATGATTTGTTGCATGTTGCTCAAATAACCAAGAGCTTGCTTTCCATCTTTAAGCTTGCTAGGGACAACAACGTTTTCTTAGAATTCCATGCAAATAGATGTTATGTTCGTGATGAGGCAACCATGAATATTCTACTTCAGGGAGAGGAGCATAAAGGTTTATACTCATTTGCTATGGATAATAGCTCTTTAGGAGTCAATCTTGCAGAAGTCAATACTAGTTTAGCTTCTTCCTCTATGGAAGATCTTTGGCACATGCGTCTTGGTCACCCTTGAAACCCTAGTGAAGTTAGCTAGTGAACTAGGCATCAAAGTTCATTCCAATGTAAATAAGAGTTGTGTAGTATGTCATATGGCAAAAAGTCACAAATTACCCTTTATCGAATCAAATACATCAGTTGCTGTTTCTTTTAATCTTGTTTATTCTGATTTATGGGGACCACCTCATGTGGCATCCAATGGATTTCGGTTTTAAGTTTCATTTGTGGATGCATTTACACGACATACTTGGATTTATCTGTTAAAAAGTAAGGATGAAGTTGTATTGGCATTTCTAATGTTTCAAAAACTTGTAGCTAATCAGTTTGGTAGTTCTATTAAAGCTTTACAAACTGACTGGGGAGGTGAGTTTCACAGTCTATCACATGTGTTGGCCAATGAAGGAATCTCACATCGATTAACATGTCTGCAAACCTCTGAACAAAACGGGGTCGTAGAACGGAAGCACCGTTATGTTATTGAGCTAGCACTTGTTTTATTAGCTCAAACATCTCTGTCAGTAAAATACTGGTCCTATGCTATTGTTTCAGTAGTTTACTTGATCAATTGTCTTCCTATTAAAGTCCCACAAGGCTTATCTCCCTTTGAGAAGCTATATGAAAAGAAACCAGATTACTCCATGACGAGGGTTTTTGGTTGTCAATGTTTTCTCCATCTGAGGCTGTTTCAAAAGCATAAACTATCGTTTAGATCTCAAACCTGCACTTACCTGGGTATTAGTCCTCCACACAAAGGGTTTCAGTGCTTGGCGTCTGATGAAAGAGTTTACATTTATAGACATATTTAATTAGTTTATGTTTCAATTTACAAGACAAGGAACTTGTGACTCTTTAAATCTCAAGAATCTGTAAATTCAACTTCTCATCCATCCCATCCATTACGAGTTGTTAATTTAAGGAATACATGTCTTCAATATTCACACGATGTTCCAAATACTGTTGTACAAACCACTGTGAATAGTGGGTTTGATTGTGCTCCAAGTAATGTTGTATCAGGAAGTATTGTACCTGCATGATCTAATGATATTAATGCTGGTACAAGTCATAATGAAGTTAACATCGTTCGTGTAACTACTGATGCTACTATTGAGTCTGAAAGTATTGCACCTGCAATGGATACTGGTAGTAGTCTTGGTGAGCCTAATCTTGTTGGTATTAATCCTACTGTTATTACTGAATCTAATGTTGTGGGGTCTTTATCTCATGTTCATCCTATGATGACACGTCGTAGGTGTGGCATTTTTAAACCTAAAGTGTTTTTGATTACTGAGGATTGTAACATCCCAAACAACGAGTTAGTGACTAAATTGTAAAAGTTCAGAATTTGGTGATTAAGATAGAATAATTGAATAGTTCGAAAATGATTGTTAGTAAATATGAAATGAATTAAAGGACAAAATAGTCATTTGCAAGGAAAAAAAATTAAAAATTTGGATGGGTTTATATTAACCCACGTGGAAGAGGAAAAGAAAGCAAAAATTGGTTCCAAGTTCTATTTCTCTTCTTCTCCGCATGCCAACTATACCTATAACTCTCATATCGTATACTATGTGCATTATTCTTATGTTTCATATGTTTATGTGCTCATGTCACTTATCATATCACATGTGCATTTGAATCTATTCACATATATCATTTATCGAATCATATGAACATATGTACCTTATGCATATATCATAATAATTATCATGTACGCATGTTCATAATTATTATACTATAAAAATCAACATAGGAATTAGACTTATCACAAGTCTTATTCCATTATACTATACTTATAATATGCACTCACCTTGGCCTTGCTTTCATTGATTCAATCCTAACTCTTCGATTGTTCCGGAATAGGATTAGGTTTTATATCTACATAAACATAATTTTCAAGATGGTTATCAGAAACCTAACCATTGTATTTTGATACTAACAACTTAGACTAATTTAATAAACCAAACTTCAACCTTTTCCTTTAGGGGGAATCAGTTCCCTCTGCATAATCTTTGAATTTTACTGTTAACGGTTAAATTTAATAAACGTATTCATGTAAATATAAATGTATAGTAATTAACGGTTAAATTTTTACGAGTTTTATGTAAGTTTTACGAAATCAATGTAGCAGTACTGTAGCAGTGCATCGATGCACTGTAGCACTGTAGCGCTGTTCACACGTATTTTATTGTTCATAAAAATTATATTTTCTTAAATTGGTTATAACGAATATAATTAAATAGTATATTATCGTATTTTCTTAATATAAATTCAAATGTTTTGTTATTTTCTAAGAAAAGTGTTTTAAAAAGTCAATGTGACATCTCAAATTCGTATCCGGGTCGGGTACGGGTTGGGGGTGTTACAAGGATGATGATGTTCCTGCTACAATAAGTGTAACATTACAGTCTCCTCATTGGACTACTGTTGTACATGAAGAATACATTACTTTGCAAAAGAATGGTACCTGGTATTTAATGAAACTTCCAGAAAGAAGAACTGCAGTTGGGTGCAAATGGATCTTTCGAATCAAACGGAATTCATATAGGATTATTCTTCGATATAAAGCTCATTTGGTTGCTACAGGGTTATCTCAGACCCCATGGTATGATTTTAGAGATACATTCAGCTCTGTAGTTCGGTTTTTTTCATTCAATATTGTTCTGTCTGTTGCTATCTCTAAGGGTTGGGAGCTTCAACATGTTGATGTCAATAATGCATTTCTTAATGGAGATTTAAATAAGGATGTCTACATGCAACAACCTCCTGGATTTGAGCAGGTCAATGAGAATGACAAGCCTCTTGTGTGTAAACTTCAAAAGGCTTTATATGGTATTCGACAGGCACCTCACAATTGGCATGTGAAACTCAAAGATAATCTAATGTAAATAGGGTTTATAATATCTCGAGCAGATCCTTCATTGTTTGTTAAGCAGTCTAACAATGGATACATTTATGTACTAGTGTATGTGGATGATATAGTTATTACAGGGCAATCATCTAATCTAATTTAAGAGGTTGTGTCAATGTTGCAAGATAGTTTTTCACTCAAGGATCTTGGAGATTTAGGTTTCTTCCTGGGTATTGAGGTCAAACGTGTTGATGGCTCAATCTTGTTAAGCCAGAAAAAGTACATACTTAAATTGCTTGAGAAGACAAGGATGTTGAAAGCTGTAGGATGTGCCACACCTATGGTAGTATCATCTAAACTTTCTCATGAAACATGTGATCTTTTAAGTAATGCAAGTGATTACAGAAGTATTGTGGGTTCACTGCTATATGTCTGTCATACAAGACCAGACATATCATTTAGTGTGACCCAAGTTGTATAATATATGCATGCTCCACGTGAAACTCACTTTGTTGATATAAAAAGAATACTTCGATACTTATGTACCACCTTGAACTTTGGTCTTCTGTTTTCACCTATTGATAATGGATTG